ATTCTGTTACTGCCGGGGTGCCTACGTTGAATCTGCCTCAGAATACTTTGGCGATGTTCAGTGGGAATAACAACTCTTTCCGCCATAAGTAAACAACCATTGACGATTGATAATTCGTCTTTCTTCCTGGACAAACTAAGAACCTTCCCATCTAACTTGTCTTTCGGCCACTGTTTAGTAGGAAATCTGACCGCTTCTTGTAGAACGGGATTCCGCGTTGATGCATCACGTGTCATCTCAAATGTTCCCGGGAGACCTCCGAGCGTTCCCAACAATACCTGACTCGTCATCATCATCAACAGCGTTACATCAGACACCTGAACGGTGACCTATGGATCGAAGAACAATAAGGGAGAGAAGGAGAATTTGGCGTATCACCACAATGCCCTAAACAAACATTCAGGGTCAAGACCCCAACGCCTTGCCAATAACTCACTGTCACAAACAGCTGTCCATCGTGCAAAGATAAGCCGGCATCTGCGAGACAGCTCCCTTGCGGCTTTCACTGCCCCACGTCATAATCAGCCATTACCCTACAAATAACTCAGCACCAAACACACTGTAAACAGGCAGTCCGACTATGAGACGACAGCAAGCGCATCAGCAGTGCTGACTGCGAGCCATGTAATGTCTCGAGCCAAGCACAAGGCGCGTCACGTGGATTTAGCCTGGAAGGCTGGGCAGACGGACGGCGCCGAGTTGGATCGTCATTGCATTCATTTCCCGCTACCAAGTTAATTTTTTCCCACCTCGGAGCTTACGCCACATTACATCTGGCAAACAGAACAACGCTCTCCTCGATAAGCGGTGACCAGCCATACGTAGTACGTGCCCAAGCCAACCGCAACTTACTCATTGCTCTCTGCTGTTCGAAGGAATTGGCTTGAATATCACTGTCTAATACTCGCTTACGCATTTCATCTTGGCGGACACGCTGGTGCCATCCGACACCAGCAGTGCTTCGCAGACAACGATGATGAAAGACTTAGAGCCACCGCAGCTCTTCAGATTGGTTGTGCCAACTATCGCTTCCATAGAGTAGGACGGACCTCACTGGGCCTTGTAAAGACGGTCTTTCAGACGGAGGGAGACTTTCTGACGCTACAGATGTCGGAGAGTCAAAAGGGCGGTTCTAGCTTTTGCAACGCTTGAACTGACTTCAGTCGCTGTGCGCCCATCATTACTGATGTAGCTGCCAAGGTAGTTGAATCGAGCAACTACCTCGAGTTCCTCGCAATCAAGGGTCAAGGGGTCATCAAGTGGCCAGTGGTCCTGCCGCAACACTGCGCTTTAAAGGTGCGTAATATATGTCAGATGATGTTACCACTCTTGATAGGCTATTCAAGGGTGATTGGGCCGCCACGACGTGGTAAAATAGCAGAATAATATCGTCCGCATAATCTAGATCAAATGACTTCTCACCAAAAAGCATGTCTACGCCTGCATCGAAAGAGATTCCGCAAGGGGACACTGCATAATGAAGTCCACGATGAAGTTGCACAAAAACGAGGAAATTGGACAACCCTGATGAACATCACCTGTTATCGGAAAGGCATCCGACAAATCACCGTATTCCCTGACGCCGCCCTTGGTGTTCAAGCACAGGGCACGCAAAATGTTCACATATTTCTTGGGAACACCTTTAGTTCAAGCTTAATAGTCCGTCTAGTCACATTGTGCTCAGAGCCAGCATCGAGGCGTCTTTTGGATTCCTAAAAGTTCCCTGACTGATGCTGTGACGATTGATAGTGCCACAAGCAGTGGCTGCTGCATGGTGCTTGGCGGCCCACATCCTATTCCATTGAAGCTCAGTGTCATTAAAAAAAAGAAAGTGAAAGTTCAGTACGTAGAGCATCCTTGTAGGCTTGCCTGACCGAGAGCTGATAACTTCACAGTTCCCGATCGAAGAAGGCACTTGGCACGCTTCCTAGCAAAGTTCATGTAAAAACGACAGCCTACCAAGGCATGGCCAGAGTCGACGCAAATACTCAAGAATGAGTGACAATCCAGGATCGAACCACGCCAGCCGTAACTTATGACAACCTGATCTATCGCTGGCCAACTACAGCTGGACGCCAAGTGGCACTTCGGCGCCTACTGTGTATAAGAGCGGTGCTACTAAGAAACAGCTGGTGCTCCGGAGTTAAGTCCATACTTGCCACCCAGCTAAGCTTTTAAAGAGCTCAGATGACTACTGATTCATGTCCCCTGCAAGAACTGTGAAATCTAAAATGGTAACACTGCCTAGTAGCGTGTTCCGTTTGTGATGGAAAGCGTCCTTCGCAGCGTCAGCTGCAAGCGGTGGGAGAGAAGCGGAAACCACAGACAAACAGTGTCTACTGTTACTTAATGAACCAGACTTAGTCGATATCGTCAGACGCACTGCACAAAAATGACTGCTCACGGGAATTCCATCAACCAACGATGACTCGGCTGAGAACGATGCCCACTTCAGCTTTACCAGTGGTTGCCACATCAGCGTCTCTTGATGCGTGCAACCAAACCAGGCGCGGTCAATTTAACAACCCCCAGAGTGTCCTTGATACTAGTTTCTGACATACTACACACGTCAACACCCAGCATGTCTAACGTGTGTGCTAACACAGTCTGTTGAACGACGCCACGGAAACGGGACTGTGTGGTCTTATAAGGAGCTGTTGGCGATTGGTGTCCAGTAGTGGTGCGGAAAGTATGCTGCAGATGGTATGACTGCAGTGACATTGCGGTTGCTGTCAATTAAACAGGGAATTATAAAAGGAAAGTTAATCCTGTGGACTGGGAGAGGAGTAAGAGAAACATGTGGAAAGGTAAGAAGGGAGCGCCAGCAGTAGCATGTTTTCGCTTATCCGCCCTGCTGTATGCAGAAGATAAGGCGATCCTTGATAATCTGCGCGGCGGCCGTTGCAGGATGTAGTTAGCGTTAAATAAATAAATAAATGTTTTCTTCCCGACAGTGCGGGACACGCCTAAAAAGGCATGATCACAGTAATGCAGACGCGTATGATCAATAATTGTTACTGTTTAACCGGTCCATGCTGGAGTTATGTTGTATGTATATATGTAAGTACTTGGGTGAGTAATCATGTTGAGTGAATTTGTTACTGTTGTGCGGAAGTTGTGGTTGTGTCCGGTAAATTCGCCAACATGGGAAGAGATCAAATAATATCTTCGAACTGGCTAACTTTCTTGAATGGGATGAGATCCTCCGGAACGGCGGAAGGACGTGACTTTATTTAGTGGCGAGTCATATCCGCCACGTCGAAGTGTTGTTAAACATGCCTTTATGGCTTTTTATAGGGAGAACGCTTGCCAGGCGAAAACCCACCACGTCTGGAACACTGCCGCCGAACCATTTGCTGGAACAGGATTAACCCCGACCACCCAGCTGGCACCACGTGGAGCTTGTTCGGCTAGCCAGTCATGGTTTCGTATGGGCTGAGATACTGTCAGGGCGCCCAGACTTAGACAGGAGGACGATTAGGGTCCTCAACCAAAGCCTTTGGCTCAAATGCCTGTCTGCAAGGCAGCGGGGAGGTGGCAATGATTTAGTTTTATAGAAATGGACGCCATCCCATTTCAAACCCCCAACCGGGAGGACAAGGAGACTGAGTTTGTCTGACCTCGCACCATTGACCAACCTGGTAGGAGTAGCTCTTAAGGTGCCCGGAGGCAACACCCAGTATAGCTCAGTAGGTCGATGATGTACACAAACCGTCGCACCACGTTAAGGTCCAGTTTCGTTGAGACGGCCGATGTTTCAACCGATACATTGTAGCAGTGGAGCTAAATAAAATTAAGGGGAAGTATTGAAGGTCAAGATAAGCTGAAGAGGATAAAATGACGCCTGAATATCTGACGCACTGATGTACCAGTGGACCATTAGTCAACGATGAGCCTTGGGGCGGAGTAGAACTGGAGGCTGCAATAGAAGATAGGTTGCTTGATGAGCAGCAGTTGTCTTTTAATCCGGTTTTTTCTTTTCTTTATGTACTGTCTGTACCTTCCTCATTTGCTTGATGAATGATTATGGATCAGCCAAGAAGAGCACTTACATTGCTTAATACCAGGTGCTTGTCATGCTTTTTACGAAAGTTGCACTGCGACTTGCTGGTGCGGATATCAGCTTGTAGTGTTGATGTAGTAAACCTCTTGCTCATTCGATCATTTTTTCCTCTACATTATTTTATTTATTGCGTGTATTGCACCCAGATGGTTTTAGAAGGGACACATTGGTGCTACACGTGTGTCCTTCGTCTGTCGGATATTTAAAACGGTGTTAGGTTTGTCTTTAAGTGTCGTAGTCATAGTGGGTCAAGCTTAAGTAAGTCACATCACTGACTGAGATATCATTCGCCTGTGAAACGCTTGGTGAATGCTTACTGCACTTTTTCTCTGACGATACAGTCTTGCCTCCTCGGATTGCTGTATATCATCTCTCAGTATTCAAACCAAGGGCGAACATACGATTCATACATTGAACAAATTGAATGCCATAGAGTGAACTTGTTGAATTGTGATGCGATGCGTTGTTTTCGTGTATCTGTTGCATAACACACTTGTCCGGAGATGTTATGGGAGTATGTGTAGTGAGTTCCTAGATCACAAACGGTCTGTCATCAAGGATCAAGACATTGTGGTTTTATACTGCGCTTGCATGATATGATGCTGTGTGTGTCAGTAGTGAGAAACATTTTCCACCTGGCACATCAACTTCCAAGGGCATGAAACTCAAACGGGACTTGCGTCAGATATTATTATCAATCGCTGATCATCATCATTCTGACCACTTGAGTGGACGCAGCGCCCCTTTGTGCGTGATTCATTCTTATTGGCCATTTTTCGAACAGTTTTGTATTATCTCTCCTTTTTGTCTGGTGATGTGTGATGGAGCAGGAACGTTTTTTGTTCTGCGAACTTATTACTTTTTTGCTTGTGAGCTGCTTTACATGAAACGATCTTTCACTTGACTTGTTACCGGCAACTTCTTTTCCCTTATCCAGGGTTCCGTACTTCATTTAAAAGGCAGAAATGTGGTTGAGAATCAGTTTGTCAAAATGGGTGCCTATCACACGTTGGATTTGTCGATCGACGAGAAATTCACCATTACCAAAGGCGAATGGGATAGTGTTGCTATCATGCTCGTTGAGCAGGCAGCGGACCCCACACAACATGCAGACGTGGCAGCCGTTGTGATGCACGAAGGCCTTGCCTATCTGTGCCTTATCACCAGTACTACGACAATTGTGCGCGCAAAGATCGAGACAAACATACCTCGCAAACGCCCAGGTTTGCCTACTAGCCATCATGAAAAAGGCCTCCTTCGTTTCTTCGATCAGATTATGCTGGCTCTAGAGCGTCACATACGCTTTGACAGTGAGTTGGGCATGTATGTTCCTTGTTTTTACATTCTTTTTGGGTCATGAAGAATTAAAAGTATGCTTCCTTTCCGTTGGGTTGTATTCTTCGCCAGCCATTACAATTCCTTAGTTTTAGTTTTGTTCTGACTAAGTTTTATTCGATGGAATCCATGTCTTTCTGTTGCTTGCTTGTAGTGCGCCTCTGGCTAGCGTCTGCTCCATGGAGCGCGATTGAAGGTCCTTTACATCTCCAGTTCGTCGGTGGTGATGTATATTAACTTGCTGATAACGTTCGAGGTTTCCCACATGGTGTAGTGTTATGTCTGTGTTTTCGCCTCAGCTGCTTTGGTTTATTCGCGGTTAAAAGACATGCTTTGTTCCCGCCCCCTTCACTGCCACTGCGCACAAAGCGTAAATTCACACTGGTGGTTATCAACTCTTCTTTCCACATGGAACTGGACTATGTATCCGCCCCCAAACCGATGACAGGCACTCCCTGTACCAACTCACCAATACTGTTTCCTTGTGGTTTTTTCTTTTCTGATGTTATGACGATATGAGCTTTTCAAGTTAATCGCACCATTTTTCGATGTCTTTGCCTTAATTACCAAATGAATCTGAACAAATAAACTCGAACCGACAACCCGGTCAAATGTTGCTACCCAGAATTTTGCCCTACCACAGCTTCCATTTCGTAATAGTTGTTTAGCCAATGCTTTGTACTGTTCATTTATCGACCCAACACTACAAGGTCATTACCCTCCCCATTAGTTAACATCTATCTTCTCTAGCCACTTTTAGTGAACCATGCTTCAAAGTAAACTTCAGTCAAGATTTTGCTTTTTCAGCACAATTCATGCACGCAGGGGTTGTCTCTAATGTCATACAGCTGATTCACCGTTTTACAACTTGAATATGTGTACTCGAGCATACCCAGCTTTTCCTTAACCGAATGGCCGCTACAGCTATTTCCAAACGTGAGCCTTCAGCAAGCTCGGAACGCAGGATCGCTGCTATCATTCGAATTCGATATTTGGTGATTTACGAACAGTACTACCTTTGTAGACTTTAACTGGTTGGTCCATAGAATGCAGACATAAACTGGAAGTTATCGAGCGATACTTTTAGAAGTTATTCAACTGTTTCTGTAAGTTTTGTTGTCGAGAATAGTCAACAACTGGATGTTGATACCAAGTCATTTACTTTGTACACTCTGGGCAGAATGTTTCATTCCGATGATCATCTTCTCAAATGGATATTCAGAAATAGTAATAGCCCACTCCCATCGTGACGAGACTGGACCTTAACGTTGCGCGATGGTTTGCGTGCCTCAGCGATCCTTTGAGGTATGCTGGGAGGTGTTTTTTGCACCTTCAGATTGGTCAGTGGTTAGAGGCCAGACAAACTCATTCTCCTGGCCCTCCAGTTTAGGGGTTGAAATGAGGGTAGCTCTTTACTCTATAAAACGGACTCCTTGTAGCCCAACGTCGAAACCCACTGTCTTGCGGTAGGCATTTTGGACCAAAAGCTTTGGTTGAGAATCCTAATCGTTTTCCCATCTATGCCTATGCAACCTGGCAGTATCATGCCCGCGCAATACAGCTCTTATGGGCTTCTCTCTTTATAGTTTATTGATGTTTTGGCCGATGCAGAAGTTAACCAACAGCGCCTTATCTGCTGGATCGAGCAGATTGGATAGGGAACTGGTTGCTGCAGCCCAAACATTCCCATATGTTTATCCCCCTTGCGCTTTTTCACCCTTACCCGTCTCCTTCCAACTTCACTTTTGTCCCAACTGTTTTCAACCCTCCACTTATTGGCCCTCCCCCATCTTGCTTTAGTAGTCGCTTGTCTTCTGGTTTTCGATTCACGCAAGCGCAGGGCGCCACTGCATTCCACTTGACAGTTCATCTGTCAGTTCATCTATTGCTATTTGGAGCCTTCGATCCTTCCTAAGGCTGGCATCTCTCAACATGCGCTCTTTATTGCACATTGGGAACAGGCAGCACTTCCTGAACACTGGAGACCTTATCGATCGACATCTGCTGCTTATTGGAAACCTGCCTGCAAGATTCGAGTTTTGTGATAACCTTGCCATCCCCCACAGGGGACACTGGCGGCACGTTCTCATTACGTTTGTCAGGAGATAACGCAGCTTCAAATGCTTGTCAAGTCGGTGTGGTTATTGTTCTGAATCCGCAGGCTGTAGCTGCCTTGGCTGACTGGATCACAATGAACAACAGGGTTTGTACCGTCAGATTGGCTGGCTCTTTCAAAGCTTCGAAGGCGCGCTGGGACAAACGCTAGCTGTTTGTCATTGCTGGATAGGATGGCCGTGTAAAAGCATGTGAGGGATTATTTACACTATTGGACGAAAAGTTGATGCATGCATCGAAATGTTACTAATTAAATCTATGAGCGTTTCTTCCCCTAAGCCAAAGCAACGGGAAATAAATTTTAACGAACGGACAAGAAGGATGTAATCGTTTTTCAGCAGTTCTGGATAAATAACAGGGAAACAGTATAACCAGTGAGTGAGAATACATGCAGTCACAGACTGTAGAATTGAAGCACTGGGAATGGAAAGCATTTTAAGTCTGAGGGCGCAAAAAGAGAGATGTTTCAAGGAAATCCGTACAATCGTTTCAAATCCACGGACGTCAAACACCCCTTTAACACTGGCAACACGTGCAAACACAAGCAAAAGTAGTATAGTAGTATGGTCAGCAGTCTATCAAATAGATATAGAGCCAAACATATCCATGGGAATCACTAAAAATCAGGTTGAACACGGTATCAGCATCATTACGCTTTAACTGGAGGTGAGCAACACACTTCAGCTATTGTACCGCAATATAAAAAAAACAGCGGAGCATTTCTTTGGCTTTTTTGCACATGCCATTTTTAATTTTCTGTCGTTTTTAATCGTTAAGCATTAAATATCCAGAGCTAAGCATTTATATATACAGATCCTCTACTGGTTTCGATAACGAGCCATATCCTGAATTGTTTCCAGCCATCGACACTTCTTGTCCTTTGGTCCCTAACCAGGCAGACGAGTTGATCCAGTGGTGGCAAGGTGTGAAGTTAACGATTTCATTTATTGTCGCCAGGTAGATGGTGGACCACCACGTGATCTGTTCCAGTTCAGTCCTGCATGAGCAAACAGAGCGTGATAGGGTAGACACTCAGCTGACATACGCAGGAGGTGACCGAGCCATCTCAACTGGTGCAGCAAAAGCAGCTTGTTGAAGGGAATACTTGCATTCCCTAAGTTCCCTGAGTTCACTGTTGCAAATGTGTTGTTGCCACCACACACACGAGTAGTCCTCCTCAAGCACCCGTTGTCGAAGGCCGAGAGCCGGCGCATATCGTCTACGCGAACTGGCCATGACTCGCTTCCATATAGCAACACCGCCCGAACGGTGGCATTGTAAACACGACCCTTTACCAAGAGGGAGATATCCCGGCGACGCCACAAGTGCTGCAGGTTGACAAACGCCGACCGAGCTTTGGCGATGCGAAGAGAAACTTCCCTTCTAATGGTACCACCAGTGGACAAAGCTATCTACTTGTTCCAGCTTCAATATTGAGCGCAGGAACAGTTGAGTGCCAATCCTGAAGCAGCACTTTACACTGACAGGTGCAACAAAACATTTACAAAGCTAAGCAACACAGCTGGTTGGCGGCATCCGGTTTCGGATTTGCCTGTCACTGTGGCCAGCCACAGGACGCCTGCGCCTACAGAGGGACCATGGGTGGCTTGCACTGCACCACACACAGCTCCATCCACACACCCCATATCCAGTGTAAACCCGAAGGAATAAGACCGGGAGGCATGTGGATGGGAGCCACGTTTCATCAACCCAGCCGGCCCACACTCCTTCACAGGCAAACACAAGCACGCTGTATTTGGGGAATCAAGCGCACACAAGGCGGTGGCTGGACCGTAGTCCGCTCCACACTGACTGTATGGAACCACTCTTTGATCCTAGCACGGCCACAAGGACCGTGCACCCCGTCCCCTCCAGCAACGTCCAACTGTCTCCTGGAGCCAGATGGACGAGGTAGTGGGTAATAGACAGGTAGGCACCTTGTCAACATGCACATCAAACGCAGCCACACCGGGAATATCAAACAACAGCCAAACATTTGAGAGAGAGAGAGAGAGAGACAAGGAAAATAACTCGATTAATGCATAAGCAAACAGTGACATACACCTTAAGTTAATGAACATATGTAATAAATTGTTTACAAACGAATCCTATATAAGTTCTCGAGGTCAGTATGTATACTTTACGGAATACCTCGAACACAAAAATGCTATGGAAATCGACTACAATTGGCTTAAGCGAAGTGTGCAAGTTAATGGAATAGAGTACAGGTAGACATTTATATGAGAAAGAAAAGCATTAAGGTAAAAACTGTAAACCCACCACCTGAAATAAAGAGACTTAGCATGTAAGCACGTGGTTAGTAAATCGAATGCATTGTGCCTACAAACGCTGCGCCGGTGCTGTCTACCTTCTCTGCAGGACCCGTCGTCGTTTCTGTAGTGGTCCCGAGTGGCCTCGCCCATGGCTCACTAGGAAAGGGTGACATATATCTTAAAGTAATGAGCATCTGAAGTAACTTGTTTACAGAAGAATGCGAGATAAGTTCACAAGGTCAGAAGGCAAACTTTACAGAAATGCCACGAACACAAAAATGTTTTCGGAAAGGACTAGAATTGGCTTAAGTGACGTGTGGAAATTCATAGAAAAAGTACGGGTAGACATTTATACGAGAAAGCAAAACATTGGGACAAAATTGAAAACCCACCATCTGAAATAAACACACTTAGCACGTAAGCAAACGGTGACATAAATCTTAAATTAGTGAGCATATGAAATAAGTTGTCTACAAAAGAATACGAGGTAAGTTCACTAGGTCAGGAGGTTTATTTTACGGAAATGCTACACACACGAAAATGTTATCGAAATAACTACAAGTGGCTTAAGCGACGTGTGCAAGTGT